CACTCCAAGCAATAGTGACCAGTGAGTGTGCTTGTAGACGAGTACCTATCGTTGCCCAGTTTTTCTTCTGTGGGGGACATGAATTTGTCTGGGATTCACACCTGGGACCCCCTTATCCTTCCACGGGAGTCTTTTAGCGGCGAGCACCCTGTGGCTCTTATTTGCTCGACCCGTGCCCACGGGGCTTTTTCAGTGGCTGAAGAGAGGAATGGAGAGGAGAAGGAAGTACAGGGAGGCTGTCTCATCTCCACCTGTGCGGGCAGTCAGGGTCCGCTAAGAGGGCTAAGAGCCTTCAGCTTACGCCAGGGAGTAGCCCTGGCCAGAAAGCCTCAATTACTCTTTTGCCATTAACGGTCCCACGCGAAGACTCAGACCAAGAATAAAAGGAAAGATAAAAGGAGTAAGGGAAGGCTTAGAATAGAGAGCGTAGAAAAACCAGATCTTTTTCTTTTTAAGATATTAATACAACCTTTAAGCACACACACATCACACTGAATCACATTCGTGTGGACCGGTCCTTCTTTCATTCAGACACACACTGCACCCACCATTTTCACTTTTGGGATCCCTGAACACAGACACAGACAATACACAGAACAGAGAATTTCTTGGCGTGCGCTCCTTAACTCAAGAACTGAAAGTACGGGAGGGGAGTAGCCAAGCCAAGCCAAGCTCCCTTCTTCTCCCGGGGGAAGGAAGGCTACGCCGTCTTTTCCAGACCACTCCGGTCCCTAAGGCCAGAGTGTCAGAACCAGGGGCCTCTGGGCACGTCTGCCACTCCCATGGGTTTCCAGAATACAGACTTACAGGTCCTGCACAGGCACAAATGTTCAGACGGAACGTTCCCAGAACAGGAAATGACTTACAGACATTAAGACCAAGACAAACTACAAGACGTCCTTACCTCCTGCTGATCTGAGGAAATGGGTCTGGGGGCAACCGAATCCCAGACAAGCCCCCAAATGTAGGACCCCCGGGCTGGGGTACCCAATGTCCACGGGAGGCCGCACCCCAATAACTCAGTCCTCAGACCAGGAGATGCAACAAGAAAGAGGATTTAATCGTTTGTGCAGATGGGCTCCTGCCTCACTCGAGAGAGAGCAGCAGCAGCCTAGAGCTCAGCTTACAGGCTTCTTTTAAAGGCAAAAACCACAAACCAAAACCGGCAGCAGTGGGAGGGGGCCGGCAGCAGTGGGAGGGGGAAGTTTCGGGTGATGCAGCAGCCCCGAGCTCAGCTTACAGGTGACTTTTAAGGGCAAAAACCACAAGCTACAACCGGCAGCAGTGGGAGGGGGGCCGGCAGCAACCGGCAGCAGTGAGAGGGGGGAAGTTTCGGGTGATGTCTGGCTTGTGTACGGAGCATGAAAAGGTCAGCTCTTTCTCAGCAGTTAAAATTATTTTACTTCTTACTTCCTTGTTCTGAATATTCTTCTTTGGTCTGTGGGACTTGGTTTGAATCCACTTTAACCTGGGGGGCTTTAGTTTGATTCCATCAATAGATTAAATAGTCCCTCACTGGTGTGCCTGGAGGCTTGTCTCCTAGATAACTCTAGATCTTGTCAAACTGACAAATGACAATGATTATCACATTTTTATATTCATTCATATGTGTGTGCTCTCTAGCTCCATCATCAGCTAACAAAAGGTCAGTGTTCTGGGTCTTTTTGGTTAACTGATGTCCCTTGACCCCAGGTACACAGGAGGCACCAAATAAATGATTGTTTTTAATTATGTTTATTGTTTTAAATATTTTATTATTTTTATTTTATGTGTATGCAAGTATTGCCTGCATGTAGGTAAGTGCACCCATGTTGTGCGATGCCCAATGAGAACAGAAGAGACTGTCAGATTCCCTGTAACCAGAGTTACAGACAATTGTTAGCTGCCATGTGGGTGCTGCGATTTGAACCCGGGTCTTCTGCAAGAACACTCAGTGTTCTAAACTGCAAAGCCATCTCTCCAGGGCGTTTTTAATAATTTTTAACATATATTTTTTAATTTTTTAAAAAAATTTATTCTTAGCCGGGAGTGGTTGCACAGGCCTTTAATCCCAGCACTCAGGAGGCAGAGGCAGGTGGATCTCTGTGAGTTCAAGGCCAGCCTGGTCTCCATAGCAAATCCAGGCCAGCTAGGGCTACAGCGAGACCCTGTCTCTAAAAGACAAAAAAAATTTTTTTTTTAATTTTATGTGTATGAGTGTTATGCCTGTATGTGTGTAAGTGCACCCATGTTATGCAGCACCCGCAGGGGACAGAAGAGGAAGTTGGATCCCCTGGAACTGGAGTTACAAACGGTTGTTAGCCACCATGTGGATGTTGGGAACTGAATCTAGGTCCTCTACAAGAGTAGCCAGTGCTCTTAACCACTGAGCCATCTCTCCAGCCCCTAATTATTTATTTTTATTTTAGTGTGTATGAGTATTTTGCCTACATGTATGTAAGTGCACTGTTGGGAGCTATTAATATAAGCACAGCCATTATGTACATTGAGCTGTGGCAGGCTTGCTTATTTACTTTATGACCTTTCACCTTGACTCGAGTTTGTGTTTTACACACAAGCACTGAATTGTTCTGTCAAGTCAGGAGGAATGTGTGATAATTTAGGGAAGATGGTTAATTGGTGGAATTCACAACAAGCATTTGACCGTTCCTTGACCCTCAGATAAAGGTGGGAAAAGACAGCTGTTGAAGCTAATCGAGCTAAGCAAACTGGGGTTATCTGATATTCTGCTGTATAAGAAGGCTGAGCTAAAACAAACCCGGGCTGCAGTCTCTACTGACAATCCTCCCAAGTATCTTTCTCTGTCTCTTATTTTTCTTTCAATCCTCACTCCCCCTTTCATGTGCTGTTCGTCTAAGGCCAGCTGGCACCGGCAGTGTACCACATATGTGCAATACTCTCAGAGACCAGAAGAGGGCTTTGGATCCTCTGGAATTGGAATTGTGGCTAGTTGTTAGTGCCATGTGGGTGCTGGGAACTGAACCTGTATCCTCTGCAAGAGCAGCTAGTGCCCTGTGGGTGCTGGGAACTGAACCTGTATCCTCTGCAAGAGCAGCTAGTGCTTTTAACCACTGAGCCTGCTCTCCAGTCCATGACTCTCCTTCCTGGGGTCTAGAGCATTGATGTCACAGCCTGGAAGTTACAACAGTGTCTGTTGACAGTAGGCACCAAATAAATGACTGTCTCTTTTCTTAACCGTCAAGCCCAGTGCTGTGATATCCCCCACCCCCTGGATACTACAATAGGCACTAAAGAAATGACTCTCTTCTTCCTGGGGTCAAACCTAGTGCTGCCTTGTTCCCAACCCCAGCAGGGACTTCCAGGCAGCATCATCCTCTCTCGGGGAAGCCGGTGTCCTGAGCTCAGGCCTGTGTCTCCGCCCTACGCAGGTGGCACAGGGCGACAGCACCCCACCCGATGTCCCGGCTGGACTTCCTCAAGTCTTCTCACTTCTCTCTGGGTTATGATCCGCGGTTGCACGATGGCACCATGCAGTGCACATCACATCGAGACGTTCCGGCTTATCCGTACGTCATCCCGTCACGGCCCAGCCTGTCTCGATCTCCCTCCACCCTGTTCCAAAGGGACGCGGGCTGGACAGCCAAAAGCTGCGTGTCCGAGTTGCGCCGCGCATTCTTGCCGCCGCCTACGCCGTCCACCCGGGAGCGCGCACCGGAGCGCGCGCGAATCATGAAAATCAGCAACTTGCACGTGCACACAGACAAGCATCCCGGTGTCAATCTGTCCACCGCGCATACAGACTACGGCTGGCCGGAGCTCCTGGCGCACGCCCACGAGGGCATCCGAGGCGCGCGCCTCATCTTCGACCAGGACTCGGTGCCCTCGGGTGACAGGAAGCAGCTGCGCATCCCACTCACCTCCTACAAGGCGCACTTCCAGCCCTATGATGCTGACCCACAGCCCCGCGCCCCCAGCAGCCACCTGGGTGAGCTCAGTGGCCTGGCCATCTGTATCCAAGGGTGTACAGACACCGTGGGGGGATGCTGCAGGAAGCCCCTTCCTTTGATGTCTGGGAACATAGTCGTTAGTCACCATGGGGATGGAGATGCTGTTGGCTGGCAAGGACTAGAGACCAAGGACATTGCTAAACCTACTACCAAGGCTGGGTATTGGAGCTTAGGCACCTTCCACTCTTTATTTTGGTCTTTTAAAATTATTTAATTTTTATTCTAAGTGTATGAATGTTTGCCAGCAGGCATGTAAGTGCACCACCTTTAATGCAATACCCACAGAGGCCAGAGGAGGGTTTCAGATCACCCTGGAACTGGAGTTAAGGACTGCAGTTAAGGAGTTAAGGAGCTGCATGTGGATGCTAGGAGCTGAACCTGGGTCCTCTGCAAAAGCACCCAGTGCTCCTAACTGCTGAACCATCTCTTCAGCCTTCCACCTTTTATTTTTGAAACAGGGTGTTTTGAAGGTCCAGAGAATGATCTATAGTAACCAGATTTTTAGTTTTGAATGAGTGAGTGTATTAATATATAGCAAGCCAAAGTAAAATAATAAGTATTAAGTAGCAGCTAGAAGCAGTAGATAGATACATAAATAACTGATAGATGATAGATATAGTTAACAGATAAAAGATATAGTTAAATAATAGATGATAGATAGATAATTGATAGATGATAGATAGATGATTGATAGATACATAGATACATAGATAGATGATAGATAGATTGATTGATTGAGTGATAGATAGTGATAGGTAGATATTGATGATAGATGATGATGATGATAGATAGATAGATATAGATGATAGATAGAGAGATGATAGATGATAGATTGATTTGTTGATTGAGTGATAGTGATAGGTAGATACTGATGATAGATAGATAGATAGATGATAGGGAGATAGATAGATAGGTAGATGATAGATAGATAGATGATAGATAGATAGATATAGATGATAGATAGATGATAGATAGATAGATAGATAGATAGATAGATAGATAGATAGATAGATGATAGATGATAGCTAGATGACAGATACCTGAGATAGATAGATGAGATAGATAGATGATAGAAGATAGCTATAGGTGATAGATAGGTAGATGATAGATAGATAGATAGATAGATAGATGATAGATAGATAGATGATAGATGATTGATAGATAGATAGATGATAGATAGATGATATATAGATAGATGATAGATAGATAGATAGATGATAGGTAGATAGGTAGATGATAGATAGATAATAGAGGTGGAGAGATGGCACAAGGGATAAGAGCACTGGCTATTCTTACAGAGGATCTGGGTTCAGTTCCCAGCACCCATGTGGTGGCTAACAATCACCTGTAACTCCAGTTCCAGGGGATCCGATGTCTTCTTCTAGCCTCTGTGGGCATTGCACACATGTGGTACTCTTACATGCAGGTAAACACTTGTGCACATAAAATAGAAATAAATAATAAAATTTAAGTGATAGATGATTGATGAATGATAGATTGTAAATAAATGATAGAAACATAGATGATAAATAGATGATAGATTATAGGAGATAGATGATAGATAGATGATAGAGTGATAGGTGATAGATAGATAGATAGATGATAGATAGATAGATAGATAGATAGATAGATAGATAGATAATAG